CTACCTGGGATGAGGAAATAAAGTTTTGATTGCCGTAAACACTCCGGGTACTGGTTCCAAATTTGAAAAAAGAAGAACGCTGTCTGGTATTCGTTTAGTGAGAAGCTCACCAAGAGTGTAGGATACTCTTTCTGCCATAGCAGAAATAGGTTCGAATACTGCCACGGACATTTGAGTTTACTAGACACTTGTCGTGTCTCGGGTACCATATATTTAATAAGACAAAAATATGTAAAACACCGGTCACTGGTACAAAGAAACCCATTTGAAAAAAAGATAAGAGTAGGTAAAAATAGTAATATGCACTTAGTCGTGAAGCTGACAGTCTCTCTGACGTTGTGGCTCTGACCTTGGTGGGATGTGATGTCACATCTCCGGCTGAGAATAATGCACACTATATCAGTTACAAACTATATGACCTTTTCAGGTTTAGTGTTTACCTTGATTAAAATAATAATAATCAATTACAAAGTGAAATTAATTTCAGTCTGCTGAAGAGGAGCTCACTCAGAGGTGGGAATATGTGGTTGTCCTCTTACCTTCTGTTATATTTTCTCCACGTGGGTTCGTTTATACCATATAATCTTTCGTACTTATATACATTCATTCCAGAATGTAGATAAGAATGTGTATTAAATGACATTTTTTATATAAATGCAGTTAACTTCTGTTGTGTCCTTTTCAAAATTACTCCTTAATTGCCACCTTGCCGTAAAATTAAACCCAGGTCGATGTAAATACTTATCGGAAATAGGAATATTCTTCCTCATATCTGTGTCTCTTGCTTCTGTCTAGTGATAAAGAGATCTTAACCAAACGTCTTCTACGTGTGAGCAGTCTCAGTGTATTTTTCTAGGCGAATGATGGTTCTTCATGTGATTCATTCAAACAATTGGTATCAGAAGGGATATAACTATAATTGTACCTACGTGTCAGAGGTGACATGCAAAACGATGGTAAAACACACTAGCCCACTTTTTTTTTTTTGAGCATATTTCTTTAGCTAAACTCTTGGATCATTCGAGTGATTAAAATTCACTGTTTTTTAGTCTGTTTCATTGGTAGTTATTATTAATTATTTCATGCAGAGAAAAAAAATGTCCCTAAATAGCTTTAATTTGCTTCTAAATAAATTGATCTGTTACGAAACTAATGAATAATACTTTTATATCAAAAAATAACGCTAAATTATTTCTTTCTTTAATATATTTTTTTATTTCTAAATATATTTTCTTAAAAATTAAGAAATTTAAAGAAAATTACCACAAATAAAAAAAAGCATCCATCAGTATATTCAAATTTACCCTTGAGTCTTACTTTAATAAATGTGTGTTTTATCAATTATATTTTCTTGAATGTAACTTTTCCGCCATAAATGTAAAATAATGTGATATTATTTTTTGAGACTCTTAGAAACCATATGTAAATAAGTTAGTGTTTTCTCTGAGGTGAAGACAATTCCTCTGAACTCGTCAGCAAGTGATAATGCCATAGAATATCTCATTTAAGAAGCAAGTGTATGTGTTTATTGTTTTACTGTGTAATGTTTATGGATCACTTCACGACAGGTTTGTTGTTGATGCTGTGATCACTGAACACACATGAACATATTTCATGTTCAAAGTGACGAGAAGAATGAACCGTACTGACGTTAAGAATTTGGCTGAGTGGGTCAGGTCTCTTCCATATTAAAAATAAAATCAATTAATTTGTGTGAATATTAACATATATATATATATATATATATATATATATATATATATATATATATATATATATATATATATATATATATATATATATATATATATGTATAATATATTATATATATATATATATAATATATAATATATATATATATATATATATATATATATATATATATGAAGAAACTGTTTCACCATCACTCACTCCATCACCATCTTGCCAGATATCCTCACCTTCTCCTTCAGAGTGTAGGCACGGTACTTGCTGGATGTCCAAGTCCCTCGCATACAAAACCTTCTTTACCCCCTCCATCCAACCTTTCCTAGGATGACCACTACCCCGCCTTACCTCCACTACAGATTTATACACTCTCCAAGTCATCCTATTTTGCTCCATCTTCTCTACACCACCTCAACAACCTCTCTTCAGACATCTGGATAATTTTTCCTAACTCCGCACCTCCTTCTAATCGACAAACTATAAATTCACTGTAACATTTGCAACCCGTGCTTCACACCTATATAAGAGAGTTTGTACCATTGTACTCTCATATATTTCCTTTTTTGCCTCCATGTATAATCTTCTTTGTCTCCATAAGTGCATCAATGAGCCACTCACCTTTTTTCCTTCATCAATTCTATGGTTCACCTCGTCTTTCATAGAGCCCGTCCGCCGACAAGTTTACTCCAAATATGTGAACACATTCACTTCCTCCTTTCAACCTAATATGTATTCTTTCATTTCCTAAATTTTTTGCTACCCTTATCACTTTGCTCTTTCCAATAATAACTTT